TACGCCCGCGTTCGAGCCATTGACTGGGAGGGACGGGTGGGAGTTTGTTGGTGCGGTGCGGGAGGGTCTGCCGTCGTGGGAAGGAGCTCGTAACGCTGAGGGCGAGTTGTTTCTTTTTGGTGACGGGTCTGGCGGCGCCTTTTCCGACGACGTCAGGCGACGGCGTGTTGGTTCTGGCCTCGCGGCCCTCCGATGGGACCCTCCCTCGGCCTCCTGGACCCTCCACGCGGGCCTCCTCGCCCCCCTCCCAGGCCCCCGCCAGACCGTCCCAAGAGGCGAATTGCATGCGTTTTGCCTGGCACTGGAGACGTGCCAGCAGGATTTCACGTTTGTCACAGATCACCTAGCCCTGCAGCGCGGCTGGCAGAATGGCAGATGTCTCAGACCTGGCAGCCTTAGAGGCAAGAATAAGAATGGGGATCTCTGGCTGAGAATTCGGCACCTCGTGCAGGATCGATCTGGCGGCTGCTCTTCGGTCACGGTGCTCTGGACCCCATCTCACGCCGATCCCCTGACTTTGCATGGTTTCCAAAAATTCCTTGCTCTCGGCAACCAGCATGCCGACGAGCTCGCGGGAAGCGCGGCCCACAAGTCGGCCACCCTTGCCCTCCCGCCCGTCCCCAGGACCGACGAATACGACGCTATTGCTGCCATCGTCCGTCAGAGGGCACGACTGATTTTACGTTCCTTAGGCAAGAATTCAGAGCCTCGAGGACTGTGGCCAGAGAGGCAACCCACCCAGGAGGCAGCCCCTCGCTCTCTGTTGCAGACCGCGATCGCGGCTTCTCAGCACAAATTCGAGCGGTGTGCAGACAAATGGAGATGCCCTGCCTGCCTCATCATCGTTGACGCTTGCCACGTTATTCCATCTGCCGCCACTGAGTGCGTGCCGCCTTGCCCCCTTCCCGAGTTTGCCGCGTGTGGCGAGGTGCTGTGGTCGAGGGGTCCCCGCGTGATCAGTGGCAAGGCGATTCACCCCTCCCACACGTTGGCCACCATCCCCAAGTGGCAAATGTTCTTCTGTGTGAAGTGCGGCCATACGGCCACGCACCAGGTTAAAAGCCTACTTTTGCCGTGCCCTCTCTCCCACCAAGTGGGAGAGCGCAGGGCCCTGGGACCCACTGGCAAAGGCCTCGAGAACCTCAGCAGGATCAGGCGAGGCCTCCACCCGTCCAGATCGGGCCCCAGCAAGTCAGTGCTAGAAGCTTTGCACGTTTCGGCAGCCGAAGCCGCGATCGGTTCCTACGCGGCGGGTGCTGCCTCCGAGTAAATTGCGAGGCCAGGGGGGCCTGTCGCGGTGGGCCGTGGGATGTCGCCCCCCACGGCCCTCCGAGAAATACTGGATGGCCCCCCTGGCATCTCTGGGTTCCGAACGGACTACGTCCGATTGCTCCACTCCACTCCTCCTCCTCCTCCTCCTCCTCCTCCTCCTCCTCCTCCTCCTCCTCCTCCTCCTCCTCCTCCTCCTCCTCCCCCTTCATTCACAATGTCTCTGCGGCTTTTGGCTGCGCCCCCCCTGCGGAAAGTGATGCGATCGCACATGTGTTTCCGCCCTGAATCGGTCCGTGCATGGACGCCCAGGGAGCAACACCTGTGTCCAGCGGCATCTGGCTGCACCCCCCTCCGTTCATTCACAAGTCTCTGCGGCTCTTGGCTGCGCCCCCCCGCGATCAAAGGCAGAGATAGCATCGCGCGAGGATATTGTGACCAGGGAGCAACAGTGTCGACCAAGCCCAGCAGGTCAGCACGCGGACCTGTGGACAGGCTGCCGGCGGCGGTCTGCCTACCCCAGCCCCGGTCGCACCCGTCCTCCGCAGGGGCAGCGTGGCATGTGGTGGACGGGGGTGATACCACGCACCACGCCGTATGCGCGGCCTGCATCGCGTGGTTCAGCCCTCAGCGGACAGGTGGTTGCCCTTCTCGGCGCAGCCACATGCCAAGCCCTCGCCAGGACATCGCAGTGTTGGGCCCCCGGACCTCGTGTGCCGGATACGATGTGGATACTGGCTATCGGCTGGCCGCCAGCCCGCGTACGCTGTCGTGATGCGGCAATGGAGTGGGGTCAACTCTTCCCCGTTGACACCGGCGCTCAGCGGCAGGCAGTGCCACCCCCCACCTGTGTATCGCCTTGGTTCTACGTTGACCCGGTCATGGCGCTACCACAAGGACGTCGCTCTGGCTTCTTCAAGGTGGTGATTGGCGCGTTCGCTAGCCTCACTCCCGGTGTTACCTGACGTCTGGCTTCACCAGGGAGTGGCCCTGCAAGAGTGGTTCATCCTTCTGCAGTTCATGGCCGTTCCCCCAGCAGACCAGTCTGCATCAGTCTCTATCAGCACTTGCAACGTTGTGCCCCCGAACTGCGAGAGTCGGATACGTTGTGTACGCACTGGCTACAGGCTGGAGGTGGCGTTACCTCGCGTTCGCTGACGGGGTCGCCCCTCTCTCATGTGCAAGGGCGGACTTCAGCCGAGTTCTGCGCCAGTGAGCCATGGTGAGTGAGGCCTTCCTCTGTGCCGCCTGTCTTTTCTTACTGACGCTGTGTGCCCCGACGGACGTCCGCAGCGGCCTCTTGTCCCCCTCTCGGCCTCGCTTCCATGTGCCCGGCCGGAGATTGGCGCCGACTGGGCGACTTCTCCCCGCTGTTCCAGTACACATGGCCACACTGTACCGCCGTTGCCGCTGCTCGCTGCGACGTTGCGTCCCCACCCGCTGGGATGTCGGCGCCGGTCTTCGGTGTTTAATTTGGGTCATTTTGTCCCTTGCATGTGCATGCGCCTCTTCGGCGAATTATCTTCGGTACGCGCCCCGTTCGATGCCCCGCTTCTTGACCTTTGCCAGGGAGCCGCCAACAAAAAAGTAGCGAAACTACTCAACAAACCGACCCGGACCTTCATCGGTCATTCGAGCATGGAGAAGGCCACCACCACCGAGCACACCACACAGACGCCACAATGAGTCCATCCATCACACGATGTTCACTCCTTCTGGACCGAGCGGGTACATGGGCGTGCGGGATGACAAAAGCCCCCCACACTGAATCACCACTATACGTATCAAAAGTGATACCATATATTCATGTGCATCGTCGCAACGAGGTGCCGCCACCCTTGCGTCTCGGGGCGTCGGGCGATAGCCTGCATCAGCTACAACTTGACACCGCGCCCCCTGGCACGTTGAGGCGTGGTGAACTACCAAGATCCCCTCTACTCACGTCCGCAAGCATACATCGACCTCTCTCCTACGCAACAGACAAATAGCCCCACAGTTGCGAGACCACGTTCCAAGGCACAGATTCACGGATCCGTGCCCCGGAGCCCCGAAGAACGGCGGAAGCAGGCCACCAAGACGGGCAAGACGGCCCAAGGCATGTCCGGGACGGCCCCAGAGGGCCCGAAGGCGGCCCAAGAGGGCCCCAGACGGCCTAACAGGCCACTAGAACGGCAGAGCCACGAGAGGACCCCCAGCAGGGCCCGAAGATGCCCAGATTGGTGCTCCCCCTGCACTTGCTGCAAAGATTGGGGCGTCTTCGCCTCGTCGGGCCTCCTGCAGCTCCAGACGGCCCCAGAAGCTTCCGAGATGGCCCAAGACAGTCTCCCGAACCCCACAGTGACCTAAGGATCCTCCAGGACGGCCCGAAGACAGCCCGACCGAGCCCTGGGACGGCCCAGGCCGGCCCAGGAGAGGGCCCCGGGCTGGCCCAAGGCGGCCTCGGAGAGCCCCATCGGCGGCCAGAAGCAGCCCCAAGATGGGCCCACGACCCAGCTCCCCAAGAGACCCCCATACATGGAGCAGCCCCAAGATGGGCCCACGACCCACCTCCCCAAGAGACCCCCCATACAGGGTCAAGATGGCCGAAAGATGGCCCCAGAAGGCCCCATACGGCCCAGGAGTCCTTCCAGCGCCATCAGACATCTAGGAGCCATGCTGCCGCTTCCCGTTCCTCCTCGTCGTCGTGGCCCTCCCTGTCCTTCTGTCCCGCCTCGAGGTGTATTGCCACATGCTCCTCACGTTTTCCCTACGCTTCCGCGCGCCGCGGGCTGGGTCTGGTCGGAAGCGGTCTATGAGGAGGAGGAGGAGGAGGAGGAGGAGGAGGAGGAGGAGGAGGAGGAGACGAGCGTAGAGAACGAGTCGATTCGACACACCTTTAATCTAACCAAATCCGCCGCCCTCGGAGAGAGCAGAAAGCGAGGGCGAAGCCCCACGAATATCGCAGCATACCTGGGACGCTCCCGAGGCACGCGTGGACAAAGAGAACGTAGTACAGAGCCCAGTCGAAGATGAAGTCCGCGCCGACCGATGATGTTCGGCAGTGTGGCGTGCTAGTTCGTCTGCCAGATCAGCGAGAGCCGTGCTGCAACAGCGAAGGTGAAGCAGCTCAGCGCGACGCAGGAAGGGCGTACCAGGAACAGCCCAGTCATATTTACCAGGTTCTGCATGTAGCTCAACATGGTCTTGGCCCAGGCCACGGGGATCATCACGCCAGCAGAACAATACATCAGGAGGTTGTGCTTCATCATGCTGTGGGTTAGCGGGCGGTGCATGCCAGTGTACGGGCTCATTATGGAAGAACTCCTCATGCAGAAGATCGTCAAATTCCGAGTGGTTATCCACCATCACATCAGCAAGGGGCCGCTCGCCACACTGCGGCTCATCATGTTGAGGTCCAGCGGGCAGTGCGTGCGATTGGACGGGCTCGTCCTGAAGAAGCCCTTCATGCATAGTATCATCAATGACTGCCTGCCCCCAGGATTCTCCATCTACCATCACGTAAACCTCAGGCGCGCTGTGACCAGCAGCACGGGCGTGCCACAGCGTCGCCGACAATGACGGGGTACCTGCATAGCTGTGGAAATGATTGGACAGGCGGGCATGTTCATCAGCAATCGCATGATCAGACACCTCCGAAAGATGTGAGTACGTGCACTCGTCACCGCGAGCACATCGAGGAAAGAAACGGCATGCTGGACGAGTCGCTATCCTCGGACCCACCTCCAAGACCTTCAAGCAGTGGAAATCGACAGCCTTGGACGGCGAAGCCTCAGCACAAACATGCTCACGCAGAACGGCTTCGGCAAAGTCCTCGTTGAGCTCGGGGCCGTCACATTCGGCGGACAAAGCCGAGGCAGCGCCAGGGGCGCCAGAGTAAGAACCATCACCATGTAGAGGCAGAGAGCCGCAACCAGAAGCAGCGGGCGCTTGCCCCGTGCAAACAGCAGCGACGTCTGCACCAGCACGCAGGTCAGCAGCCGCAGCTCCCTGAAGACCCAGCCGAAGATCGCGCTGAGCATCTCCATCACCGTGTGGATCGAAAGCACCAGGAGGAAGAAGATGAACGCCACCAGCAGCAGCGGCCGCACCAGCGCGAGCATGCTCACGCAGACCGGCTCCATCAGATGCCTCGGCCAGGTCTGAGACAGCGGCCTCAGCAGGAGAAGAAGTATCACCACGGGGGTCGCGATCAGCGTCACCTTCTGCATCCCGCGCTCCACCAGAACGAACTCCATGAGGAACGGCAGCTCCGCCAGAAGCATGTGGTGGTAGATAATCTGCAGGACGACGAGGGGCAGGCCATTCACGGACCGCTTTCTCCTCGAACACGCAGAACTCGGATTCGAAGTCCAGGTCATGCACGAAAGACGTGTGGGAATCGCGACTCGACGAAGGGCACGGAGGAACTTCACTAAATGTCTGTTGGCCCACCGGAGCCGGCACAACACTCGCCGCAGACATTTGGGCAGCAGCCGCGACGTCCGTGCCCCCGAGGTCGTATCCTGGCGGGGAGTGGGACAAGTAGCACATCAGTTCAGGCAAAGCCTCAGCGTTGACCACACCTATGGGGATCAGGGGCGGCTGGGGGTACGGCAGGGACAAGAAGCCCGACGGGCGCAACATCGTCAGCAGAGTTACGGCCACCTGCAAGAGCGCTGCCACGGCAGCATCCAGCGGCAGCGCCGCAGCGCGCGGCCCAGGAGGGCCCAGCGCAGCAGCGAGGGAGATAGGCGTCGCACCAGTCCGCGCAGAAGCAGCTTGTGGTAGCGGTACGCGGTGTTTGAGGCGTCCGTACCGTCGATTCTCACGGTGCAAATGTGGAAGAGCTTCAGGGGGTAGGAGTGGAGCAGCAGCACCAATAGCCTGGCGCAACGTGTGAGTAGGTTTCCCACCAATTCCTTGCAAGTGACTGTGTAGCTGGAGACCGCGAAGGACCCCACGGGCGTGCTCATGAAGTTCCGCAGGAACGCGAACATGGCGATGACCAGGAAGACGCCTCACAAGAAAGCCGAGCTCGAGAGCGCGACGAGCGCGCCGAGCACGGGCAGAAGGCGACCGACAGTGCGGCATGACGTCACCGTGTCCAGCGACAGCAGCAGCCACCAGCCAGCAGGCGGCGGCGAACGCAACACATTGCATGCATGGGCGCGCGGCGCGTGCGGGGCCGCAACCTAGCATGGACTTGAGCCAAAATGGCTACGGAGGAGGAGGAGGAGGAGGAGGAGGAGGGGAAGGACATTCGAGAAGCAGGAGGAGGAGGAGGAGGAGGAGGAGGAGGAGGAGGAGGAGGAGGAGGAAGGAGAGGTGGGGGAAGAGCGCGCGAGAGCGGGCTCACTTGATCAGAGCGGGGACCTCCAGATTCCCTGCCTCCTGGCGCGTGGCGTAGGAGGTGCCCGCCTCCCCCCGCAGGCCCTGCACCCGCGAGACGCGCAGATCCCTGTAGAGGGGCGCCACCTCCCGTAGCAAGTCCGTGGCCGACCTCGCGCCGTGCGACACGGCGTACTGGACGAGCACGCCGCCCTGCCGCAGCAGCCGGTAGAACAGGAAGTTTTCCAGCATGGCCACCGGCAGGCCCCACTGCTCGTAGAGCTGCTGCTCTCCAACGTCCTTAGGCCGGAGGTTGTAGGGGTCGTAGAAGATCGATGATCCTCAGAACGCGTGTCAGCGCCAGCGCGTGCTTGTCCACCGAAATCCTTGAGCACAACGCAATCTGTGCAGCGAGGGTCGACACATGCTGCGTGCTACAGCCATCGTTCTACCATAAAGAAAACATAATGAGGAACGAAGGGGCTCGTCTGACCACTGCCAGCCTAGGCCACAGACAGGATCCACGACCTGAATCTAAGGAACGGCCCGAAAACCAGAGTCTCTCCTGAGCCCAAAGCGCTCCTTTTTGCAGCGTCTTGACTGCATCGGTGGAGCAGGACGGGGTAGTAAACGAGCGCATTAGGCCAGTACACGTCCCGGGGGTCATCGAGAAGATCAGGTGATACGACCCCGCGGGCAGCCCTGGGAGCACCTTCTGCCACGGGCCTTGGGCGATGCTGCGTGGGAAGGCGATCAAGCGGGGGAGGCGAAGACACGTATACCTTCCGTGCCCTTTTTGGGCCCCAGAGGGCCCATGCCGTGGACCTGAGCGACGATCCAAAACGGATTTTGCGCGAGATGACGTAGCGACCCTGCGCGGTGGCTTACGCGAGCCGCCAGCGCGGCACCCCAGTGGAGACGAGGGCGCTCTCGCGCGGCCTTGCGCGGGCAGCTTGCGCGCCAGTGTCGGCGCAGACGATCTCGCTTTCTTGCGTCGCTGACCCTTCTTCACCCCCCCCCCTTGATCGCCCCACCCATTACGTGCGAAGCAGGGATTTCTCCGTATCCACCGCCTGGGAACCGACGCCCTGGTGCCCCAGCAGGCGGTGGACATGGATATAGTTTGGCCCCCGTGGGCCCGAAAATATCCACATCCACCGCCCGCCGAGGTATCCGAAAATGAATCTTCCAGGCAGTGGTCCTGTATACATTCCCGCCTCGGATTGCGCAACGCCCGAAAGGGCCCTCCCGCACGCCCAGCCCGGCGCCGTCCCTTCTGCGCGCCGCCTCCGCGCGCGCGTCGGCGGCGACCACGGGGTGCAGCTCGACCACCTAAGCGACGATCCAAGACGGGCCTTATTGGCGGCGCACACAAGGGGGTGGAGGGAGGGGGGCGGGCTTCTTAGAAGGAGGCTGCTTCTTAGAAGGCGCCGGCCTTACATCTATAGATAGGGCCCGCGCCTTCTAAGAAGCAGGGGTGCTTCTAAGAAGCCCTCCCCCCTCCCCCCACCCCCCTCCTGCGCGTGGCTGACCTTACGCGAGATGACAAGGCGCCGCTGCCTGCGCGGGCCGCCGGCGCGGCACGCTGCATCGGAAGCGAGGGGCGCTCACGCGCGACCTTGCGCGGGCAGCTTACGCGCCCCTGTCTGTGAGAAGGACCTCGTTTTTCTGCGTCGCTCACCTCGTAGTCCACGGCCACGCCCTCGCGGGCCGCGCCGCTCCACTCGGGCGCGTCCAGCAGCCTGCGCCCGCTGATCCCCTGGCCCCAGCCGATCTCGAGGACGCGGAGCCTTCAGACCCAGACCCCCTCGCGTCGCGAACAAAAAACACGACGGATGTTTTCTGTTACTATTTCAACCTTCGGGGGCCCTCGCTGGGCCCCAAAAAAGGCTCGGAACGAGACGCCGCGGTCCTGGGGAATGGGCCGAGACGTCCGGGCACCGCCGCAGTTTCAGAGCGGTTTCTGAGAGCGTTGCCGAACGGTGTGACATGATTCATACTGGTCCTGGCCCCGCCCGAAGCCTGCAGGGCCGGCTGGTGCAACCCGCCAAGGCCAGCCGGAAGCCCACCTCCGCCAGCGCGAACATGTGTAGGGGAACAAACACTGACACTAACATAAAAGAACTCGGAGGTCCGCGCGGATTTCTCGGATCGGCGCTGGATCCCCCTCCCTGCCGCGCGGAGCGCGCCAGGGGCGGCGCCAGAGGCGCCGCCAGCGGGCCCCAGCGCCGATGCAAGAAACCCGCGTGGACCTTCGAGTTTTTATGTTTATGTCGCCGCTTGTTTCTCTAATGTAGGGCCACTCCCAGTCCTGCATGAGCTGGATCTGGCCCCTGGCTCCCCCCTCCAGGTGCAAGTGCCTGCCGAAGGAGGCGGCCCGCCCCAGCGCCCCAGGGACGGGCTCCTCCACCGGCATCTCCGCTAGCCGTCGCCACAGCTCCTCCTCCTGGGGCGTGACCGCTGGAGGAAAAGTAAGCTGTGCACCTGTAAGACTCGGTGAGCTCCGCGCAGATTTCTCGGATCGGTGCTGGACCCCTCTGGCGGCGTCTCCGGCGCCGCCCCTGGCGGCGCCGCCACCCTCCAGGGAGGGGGGATCCGAGAAATCCGAGCGGAGCTCCGAAAGCTTACGTTTGCGCAGAGTTTTCTTCTTCGGATCGCCATCTCCAGCAGTGCGCACGCGATCTCCGAGATCAGCTCCCTGAACCTGCGCCCCCAGTCGGCGCAGAGGTCCCTGCCGCGGAGGGAAAGAGACTGACGTTAATGACCAAGACTGAACGCGGAAACGCTGGTGCCGACCTTGAGCACCGTCCATCCTGGCCACGTCGACTTTGTGGATCGCCCGCGTGCGAGGTCGGCGACGGCCGGCATGGACCGCGACCAAGATCGGCGTCGAGAAAACCCCGCAACATCGCGGTCATGTCGACTACACGCAAGAGTGACCCTGGGCAAGACGACGACGACGACGACGACGACGACGACGACGACGACGACGACGACAACGACGACGACGACGACGACGACGACGACGACGACGACGAACCACCACATCGGACAGCTGTCCAGGCCTGCTAAGACCAGGTGGGCGAGGCCGTGGCCTCCTGTAAACATACAGACATGCGTAGGAGCTGCGAGACATACAAAAAGCTTTGAATCTGCGCAGCAGACAAAAGGTTATGACGGAAGAGGAGGACCCTGGGCAAGAGTGACATTTGGAGCGAGGTTTCTTGGAGGCCGCGGGGGGGACCAGACCTGGGCGCGCAAGCCGTGGCTACTGCTTCGCGCTCAGCAATCGGGGGACCCCATTGGGCCCGCACCGAAGGTCACTCGGGCAAAAGGTCACTCGTTCAGTACGACTCCCTGAGATCTGACGTTGCCAAAAAAATACAACATCGAAAAAGGTCACGACTGGACCCCTGGACCCCGTCCTTCTGCATCATTTTTCAAACCCGATCGATCTGTGAGTGTCCCAGGGCCCGAAACGAAGCGAAAACGCGCGTTGTGAAAAAATTGCAGCGCGCCTCCTAGGGTTTGCCTATAATCGAGACATCGCGGTCATGGGCCTCGGGCTCCTTCTCTCGATGCTGGCCCCCAGCAGGAACGCCTCCCGCAGCTCCCGGCCCGCCAGGGACCTCGGGAAGGCGTAGTGCAGGAGGCCTGCCTCCGCCGCCGCCGGGTGCTCCACCCTCCAGCGCTGCAGCCGGGCCGCCATGCTGCCCAGCCCGGCCCTCACCGCCCGCTCCTCTCGGCTGCACGCAAAAGCGACCCTCCCTGAGATCCTGGCGTTGCAAGTTTTTCACAACGCGCGTGTTCGCTCCGTTTCGGGCCCTTGGACCCTCAAAAATCGATCCGGCTTTAAAATTGACGCAGAAGGATGGGGTCTGGGGGTCCGGTCGTGATCTTGTGCGATGATGCAGCTTTCTGGCAGCGGAGCAAGAGTGACATTGGGTGCGCGAATCAACGGGGGACGGGGGAGGGCCAAACCTGGGCGCGCACGCCGCTGCTACCGCTTCGCGCTCAGCGATCGGAGGGCCGCCACTGGGCCCCCACCAAAGGTCACTCTAGCGAAAGGTCACTCTTACGTCCAGTTGATCCTCTCGGCGGAAGGCCCGTTGAGACAACGGCGCCTCCCCAAATCCGTTCCAAATCGGTCCCAAGGCCCCTCCCGCGGTCCTGGACCAGAAAACAGGCGACACCACCGCACCTACGGCCCCACGGGGCTGAGCGTGTACCAGGAAATCTGGCGTGGGTTTTCACATGGTATGCGCTACGGCCCCCGGTGAGCCGCAGCGCAAAATGGAGGGCCGTAGGCGGGATGGTGTGGTGTAGCTCGCTTGTTGGGTCGAGGTCCATCCTGATGCGTTTTTCGAAGCGAATCCAGCCGTGGCGACTAGAAGCGCCCAGGATGCCCAGACAGGACGAGCACCGACAGGAAGGGAAGCCCCTGAGATCCAAGGTTTTATGTTTTAAATATTATTAATAGTATTATTAACATTATTAGTAGTATTATAGTAAGTATTATTAGTATGAGTAGTATTAGTATTAGTAGTCGTAGTAGTCGTAGTAGTAGTAGTAGTAGTAGTAGTAGTAGTAGTAGTAGTAGTAGTAGTAGTAGTAGTAGTAGTAGTAGTAGTAGTAGTAGTAGTAGTAGTAGTAGTAGTAGTAGTAGTAGTAGTAGTAGTAGTAGTAGTAGTAGTAGTAGTAGTAGTAGTAGTAGTAGTAGTAGTAGTAGTAGTAGTAGTAGTAGTAGTAGTAGTAGTAGTAGTAGTAGTAGTAGTAGTAGTAGTAGTAGTAGTAGTAGTAGTAGTAGTAGTAGTAGTAGTCGTAGTAGTAGTAGTAGTAGTAGTAGTAGTGGTAGTGGTAGTAGTAGTAGTAGTAGTAGTACGTAGTACGTAGTAGTAGTAGAAGTAGTAGTAGTAGTAGTAGTAGTAGTAGTAGTAGTAGTAGTAGTAGTAGTAGTACGTAGTACGTAGTACGTAGTACGTAGTAGTAGTAGTAGTAGTAGTAGTAGTAATAGTAGTAGTAGTAGTAGTAATATGATTGTTACTATCAGTATGAGTATTCTTAATATTATGACTATTAGTATCATTATTATAGATATTATTATTATTATTAGTATTATTATTCGTAGTATTACTAGTATTATTAGTATTAGTATTAGTAGTATTACTATTATTAGTAGTACTTTTCTTCGTATTAGTATTATTATGAAGATTGTTAATATTATAAGTATCATTACTACCAGTACTATTAGTATCATTACTATTACCATTATTATCATCATCATCAGTGTTGTTACTATTATTATATATGTGTATACCCCCACATATATATATATACATATATATATATATATATATATATATATATATATATATCGCTCGTACATGAGAGGCGCCACAAGGGTCCTTCCGAGGCCTACGCGGGCACTCTAGTCAATTCTGCGAGAGCCACAGCAGCTCGTCGGATTTCGTACAGATGGCCAGTCCACTCCTCTTGATGGGGCGACGGCAGAAGAGAAGCACGTGCAGTGTTATACATGTGGAACGCCATGACTATGGCCTCCACAGCTTCGAGAGTTGGAGCACCATCGAGCCCGATCCTGGCCAGCACACAATTCGGGGGGTCACGGTCCCTAGGATAGGCCAGACCCCACAAAACATCACACCGCAGATAATGGGCGAAAACGTCTGGGGCTGGAATCAGCGGGGGCTCACGGCACCCGAATTTACATGCCTGTACTCCGCCCGCCGTGTGAAGCCTGGCCGATGTTAGCCATGCTCCAGCTATTGTCTTCAGAACAGCACTCTGCCAGGCCGGGCTGACCTGAGTGCAGTTTCCCCACACAGGGTTTTTAGACCCACTGCGGTTTCCAAGGTCGATTGCGTGCCCGTCCAGTGCGGGCTGGCATGGCATGTTAAAACATGCCTCCTCCTCCTCCTCCTCCTCCTCCTCCTCCTCCTCCTCCTCCTCCACCTCCTCTTCATCCCGAACGGCATCTCGGAGCCCAGAGTTGCGAGGATGTCTCCAGCGTAACGGGCTGGACCACCTCGCGCGCGGCATTTCGGACCCCAGAGTTGCGACGATGTCTCGGGCGAAACGTGCTGCGAGGAAGTCTCAGGCGAAACGGGCCGGACCACCTCGAGCGCGGCGTCTCAGAGCTCCGAGTTGCGGGGGCCTCCTGGGGCCTCCTGGGGCCTCCTGGTGACCTCCTGGGGCTTCCTCCTGGGCCTCCTGTGGCCTCCTGGACCCCACCTGGGGCTTCCTGAAGCCTCTTGGGGCTCCCAGGGGGGGATATCTAACATGTGGCCGTCGGGGCCCCCCAAAATAGGGGGGCGGAGGGCACAAGAGCAGGAAAAATCAACGAATCGGCACCGGATGTGTATTAACTTGACACGTTCTGATAGGGGGCCTCCTGGGGCCTCCTGGGAGCCTCCTGGGAATCTCCTGCGGACCCCTGGGGCCTGTCCTGGGCGTCCTGCGGCCTCCTGAAGCTCTCTGGGGCCTCCTGGGGCTCACAGGGTCCCAGGGAGGATATGTAACATGTGGTCTTCTGGGCCCCCAGGCTGGACCACCTCTTGTGCAGCATCTGAGAGCTCAGAGTTGCGAGAATGTCTTGTGCGAAACGGGCCGGACCACCTTGCGCACAGCATCTCAGAGCTCGGAGTTGCGAGAATGTCTCAGGCGAGACGGGCCGGACCACCTCGCGCAGGGCATCTTAGAGCTCAGAGTTGCGAGGATGTCTCAGGCGAGATGGGCCGGACCACTTCGCGCAGGGCATCTCGGAGCCTAGAGTTGCGAGGATGTCTCCAGCGTAACGGGCTGGACCACCTCGCGCGCGGCATCTCGGACCCCAGAGTTGCGACGATGTCTCGGGCGAAACGTGCTGCGAGGAAGTCTCAGGCGAAACGGGCCGGACCACCTCGAGCGCGGCGTCTCAGAGCTCCGAGTTGCGTGGGCCTCCTGGGGCCTCCTGGGGCCTCCTGGGGACCTCCTGGGGCTTCCTCCTGGGCCTCCTGTGGCCTCCTGGACCCCACCTGGGGCTTCCTGAAGCCTCTTGGGGCTCCCAGGGGGGGATATCTAACATGTGGCCGTCGGGGCCCCCCAAAATGGGGGGGGGGGGGCACAAGAGCAGGAAAAATCAACGAATCGGCACCGGATGTGTATTAACTTGACACGTTCTGATAGGGGGTCTCCTGGGGCCTCCTGGGAGCCTCCTGGGAATCTCCTGCGGACCCCTGGGGCCTGTCCTGGGCGTCCTGCGGCCTCCTGAAGCTCTCTGGGGCCTCCTGAGGCTCCCAGGGAGGATATGTAACATGTGGTCTTCTGGGCCCCCAGGCTGGACCACCTCTTGCGAGGCATCTGGGAGCTCAGAGTTGCGAGAATGTCTCGTGCGAAACAAGCCGGACCACCTTGCGCACGGCATCTCAGAGCTCAGAGTTGCGAGGATGTCTCAGGCGAGACGGGCCGGACCACCTCGCGCAGGGCATCTTGGAGCTCAGAGTTGAAAGGATGTCTCAGGCGAGACGGGCCGGACCACCTCTCGCGCGGCATCTCCGAGGTCAGAAATTCGAGGATCTCTCAGGCGAAACGGGCCCGACCACCTCGCGCAAGGCATCTCAGAGCTCAGAGTTTCGAGGATGTCTCAAGGGAAACGGCCCGGACCACCTCTCGCACGGCACCTCGGGGCTCAGAGTTTCGAGGATGTCTCAAGCGAAACGGCCCGGACCACCTCTCGCGCGGCGCCCTGGAGCGCAACTTTTCGAGGATGTCTCAGGCGAAACGGCCAATCCCGGCCAACTCAGAAACGAGAATTGTGAAGATGTCTCAAGCGAAACCGCCGGGACCATCAAATTTGTGTGAGGATGTCTCTGCTCCGACTTCCCTCGGCCGGAGTTAGCTTCTATCACAACAGCACCCCGTTCAGCAAGCTGTTTGGGGAAAAATCCTGTTTGGGGAACCCTGTCTCGGAGCCCAGAGTTGCGAGGATGTCCCAGGTCGCACCTGGTCGACGGGTAAGCTGTCGGGTCGGCACTGCGAGAGGCTCCACCGCCATGCTGTGAACTCAGAAGCAACTTTAAGAGGAAGCGGGGGAGGGCGCGGAAGCGGGGGGGCATGTCGTGATGGTTCCCTCGGGGATGATATCGAGAGGTACGCGGCGCACGTCTCAAAAGAAAAATCGTGACGTCGGATGTCTGGGGAGGGCGGAAGGCAGTGCGCGCATGACGGATGCTGAGGCGGCAGAAACGACGACGGCGGGGACGGGGAGGCGGAGGCAGAGGCGCAGCAGCGGGAGGCGGGAGGCGGGAGGAGGGAGGAGGGAAGAGGAACCAGGCGGGAAGCGGGAAGAGGGAGGAGGGGGAGGAGGAGGAGGAGGAGGAGGAGGAGGAGGGAAAAGGAAGGGAGTTGCAGGAGAGGACCTAACGGGAAACGAGTACGATGTGGACTTGTCACAACGTGTGCGAAAGATTGTCCAGCCTGTTTCGTTTGAGACATCCTTCCAATACTGAGACTGAGCTCCAAGATGTCGCTCGCAAGGTGGTCCGGCCCGTTTCGATTGAGCCATCCTCGCAATGCGAGGCTCGAAAATGTTGCGCGCGAGATGGTCTGGCCCATTCTGCCTGAGACGTTTCGTAGCACAGGAGCTCCAATCACAACCTCTCTCATTCCTTCTCCCGCCTCCTCATGCACATCATCCGCCTCCTCCTTCTCCCTTCCATCTCCTTCTCCTCCTCCTCCTCCTCCTCCTCCTCCTCCTCCTCCTCCTCCTCCTCGACCTCCTCTTCATCCCGAACGGCATCTCGGAGCCTAGAGTTGCGAGGATGTCTCCAGCGTAACGGGCTGGACCACCTCGCGCGCGGCATCTCGGACCCCAGAGTTGCGACGATGTCTCTGGCGAAACGTGGTGCGAGGAAGTCTCAGGCGAAACGGGCCGGACCACCTCGAGCGCGGCGTCTCAGTTCTCCGAGTTGCGGGGGCCTCCTGGTGCCTCCTGGGGCCTCCTGGGGACCTCCTGGGGCTTCCTCCTGGGCCTCCTGTGGCCTCCTGAACTCCACCTGGGGTTTCCTGAAGCCTCTTGGGGCTCCCAGGGTGGATATCAAACCTGTGGCCGTTTGGGCCTCTCCAAATGGAGGGGGGGGCACAAGAGCAGGAAGAATCAACGAATCGACACCGGATGTGTATTAACTTGACACGTTCTGATAGGCGGCCTCCTGGGGCCTCCTGGGAGCCTCCTAGGAATCTCCTGGGGACCCCTGGGGCCTGTCCTGGGCGTCCTGCGGCCTCCTGGAGCTCTCTGGGGCCTCCCCCTCCTCCTGCCTGCTCCCTCATGCACATCATCCGCCTCCTCCTTCTCCCTTCCATCTCCTCCTCCTCCTCCTCCTCCTCCTCCTCCTCCTCCTCCTCCTCCTCCTCCTCCTCCACCACCTCCTCTTCATCCCTAACGGCATCTCGGAGCCTAGAAATGCGAGGATGTCTCCAGCGTAACGGGCTGGACCACCTCGCGCGCGGCATCTCGGACCCCAGAGTTGCGACGATGTCTCTGGCGAAACGTGGTGCGAGGAAGTCTCAGGCGAAACGGGCCGGACCACCTCGAGCGCGGAGTCTCAGTTCTCCGAGTTGCGGGGGCCTCCTGGGGCCTCCTGGGACCTCCTGGTGACCTCCTGGGGCTTCCTCCTGGGCCTCCTGTGGCCTCCTGGACCCCACCTGGGGCTTCCTGAAGCCTCTTGGGGGCTCCCAGGGGGGATATCAAACCTGTGGCCGTTTGGACCTCTCCAAATGGAGGGGGGGGCACAAGAGCAGGAAGAATCAACGAATCGACACCGGATGTGTATCAACTTGACACGTTCTGATAGGCGGCCTCCTGGGGCCTCCTGGGAGCCTCCTGGGAATCTCCTGGAGACCCCTGGGGCCTGTCCTGGGCGTCCTGCGGCCTCCTGGTGCCTCCTGGGGCCTCCTGGGGACCTCCTGGAGCTTCCTCCTGGGCCTCCTGTAGCCTCCTGAACTCCACCTGAGGTTTCCTGAAGCCTCTTGGGGCTCCCAGGGGGGATATCTAACCGATTGCCGCTTGGGCCCCTCAAAATGGAGGGGGGGGCACAAGAGCAGGAAAAATCAACGAATCGGCACCGGATGTGTATTAACTTAACACGTTCTGATAGAGGGCCTCCTGGGACCTCCTGGGAGCCTCCTGGGAATCTCCTGGGGGCCCCTGGGGCCTGTCCTGGGCGTCCTGCGGCCTCCTAGACCTATCTGCGGCTTCCTGAGGCTCGCAGGGCCCATGGAGGGTATGTAACATGTGGTCTTCTGGGCGCCCAGGCTGGACCACCTCTCGCGCAGCATCTGAGAGCTCAGAGTTGCGAGAATGTCTTGTGCGAAACAGGCCGGACCACCTTGCGCACGGCATCTCAGAGCTCAGAGTTGCAAGGGTGTCTCAGGCGAGACGGGCCGGACCACCTCGCGCAGGACATCTCAGAGCTCAGAAGTTCGAGGATGTCTCAGGCGAAACGGGCCGGACCACCTCGCGCGCGGCATCGCAGAGCTCAGAGTTTCGAGGATGTCTCAGGCGAAACGGCCCGGACCACCTCTCGCACGGCACCTCGGGGCTCAGAGTTTCGAGGATGTCTCAAGCGAAATGGCCCGGACCACCTCTCGCGCGGCGTCCCGGAGCGTAACTTTTCGAGGATGTCTCAGGCGAAACGGCCAATCCCGGCCAACTCAGAAACGAGAGTTGTGAGGATGTCTCAAGCGAAACGGCCAAAACCATCAATTTTTTGTGAGGATGTCTCTGCTCCGACTTCCCTCGGCCGGAGTTAGTTTCTACCACAACAGCACCCCGTTCAGCAAGCTGTTTTGGGGGAAAAAAAAAAACTGCAATTTGCAAGCGGGATCGACCTGCGATGGCCCAAGGGCTGGAGACCGGGCGACAACGCCTGGTGCGAACAAGAAACGGCAGCGCCCGGATCTGCAGGGCCGCGGCCTCGATCTGCCCTCCTCCGACCCCCCCGCTCCGCGCACGCCCCGCCCGCGCCGGCGGCGCACAACTGGCCGATGGCCCCGCGAACCACGCGCCAGTCCTCGTCGGCGAAGCGCACACGCATCCGCATCCGCGGCCTCGCGGGCCAGGCCGCCCGGGCCGCGCCCCCGCAGAGCGCTTGTGCCGCGGACGTTCCGCGCGGGGCGCGGCCGCGCGGCCGCGCATCTCCCCGGAAGCACGCCCCAGAATCCAGACCCGCGAGGGCGCGGATGCGGACACATGCTCGCCGCCCTTGGCGTCCGCCAGCAGCGCGGCCCTGGCGCCGCCCAACTGCGCGGCGAGGTGCGCTGGCAGCGTAACGGCGCCGTCGGGGCGCGCCGGCGGCTGCACCGCCCATGGCGCCGCCAAGGCCTCGGCGCGCGGCGCGGCCACGGCACGCGCCTGCAGGGCGTGCGGACGCACCGCCGGGGCCGGCGGCGCGGCGGCCATCCCCCCGCCGGGGCCCCGTGAGCGCAGACGTCTCGAGCGATGTGGTTCCCAGGCGTTCTCGCGTCGTGAGAAAAGCATGGCGGCAAATTCTTCGCCGTTCTCGGCCTCTGGGACCCCTCGCGGGGCCTCGGGGCGGTGAACAAACTTCTCGGGGCGAAAAACTGGCCCTGGGGAAGCGGTCGGGACTTCCCACGACCCTATGTTGAAACATTCAAGACATCGCATGTCTGGGGTTCGTTACATCCCGACGTTTGTCCTCTCGCTTTCGGTTTCTGGTACAGGTTTTCAAGCCCAAGGGCCATCGGGAACGGATCGGGGGCAGAAAACTGGCCCTGGAAGAGCGGCCGGGACCTCCTGGGGCCGCGCAGTGGAGACATCACACCGTGGGATGTCTCGGACCCCGGACGTTGCAATATAGGGTTTTCCCAGGTCACGCGGGAGAACGAAGAGCGGAATATATTTCGAGCTTCGACCCACGGCTACAGCTCCCTCGAACGTGCCAACGTCATGGCATACCAGGTATACCAAAGTCCCCGTTCACGGGGCCCTACATCGCGGGCCGCGGGCGTGAGCCGGAGCGGCTCGAGTCGACATTTGGCGGCGCGCACAAGGGGGTAGGGCGAGCAGGACGGCTTGTTAGAAGGAGGCTGCTTCTTCGAAGGCACCAGCCCTTCCTCTATAAGGAAGGCTTGCGCCTTCTAAGAAGCAGGAGTGTTTCCGCCACCCTGTGCGCGTGGCCGACAAGAACTATTGCGTGGGACCCGCCCCCCACGGTGCCCGAGTCCGAGCCGCTCGCGGGGCTCTTGCGGGCGAGAGGCGCGCCAGCCCACCTGCGCCACCTTCGGGTTTCGTTCCTCCTCCTCCTCCTCCTCCTCC